GTGAACGCCAGTCCCGGCTGAAATGACCGGCAAGCCGTGTTCCATGCAGCTCTGTCCGGCCTGGCAGCATTCCTTGAAGGATCTGCAGACTTGGCTTCGGCCAAGCCTGCAGGAGGGCACATTGTTGGTGCTTGCAGTGACTATGCCAGCCCACTTGGCTGCATTGCAGAACGTGGGAGTGGTGCGATTTAATAGTTCTGCCTTGGCCGCACACAAGAGGCCGTGGGCATAGTCGAGATGCGAAGAGGAGATTGAAAAAAGCGTATGACGGAAGTGAAGCTGGGCCGAATGAGACATACAACCAGGCCTAGACAGATGCATGTAAGTGCACCAAGCAAGCAGTCACGGCCTCACCCTCTTTCAGACAATGGGTTTGGTTGAGCACAGCCAATGAGCTGACTCCTTGGGTCGACTCACCTCTGAATCCCCACAAGGACTGACAATATACAGACAGAAATGCTGGCCTTTGATATCGCCCTCAATAAGTAACCCGACTTTTCCGTTCGAAGGAACAGTTGGTTGTCACCCAAACTGGGGGAGGATGTCTCGTCGACTGCGCCAATCTGAATGTATTAAAGCCAAACTGCTGCAGAAAAAGGAAATCTACCTTTGTTTTGTGGTAAGATCAAGTAATGAAGCTCTTCACATGTACTTTCATACGATATACAAGTCTCCACAGCAGTGTTATGTAAAGAGATAAATCGAAGCTCAGCTCTTCTTTGTACCTGATAAAACACTAATCCACTAGAACAAGAAAGGTAGCCACTTGAAATCGTACTAACTTATTTTATCTATATTTGCCAAATTTTTAAGGATTTCATCGTTTAGTCGACTCCTCCACGCTTGAGACATAAAGATGACATAAATATAATCATAATTGTTTTCCTACATAAAGAAACTGACTTTAGATCCTGAGAAGGAGTGTTCGCTTGTGATATGTGAAAGTACGAGTAAAATTTGTGGCCTTCAAGCACTATTCATAATCATTCTTTGCATAAGTAAGTTTTTGAGATTACCAGTAGATCTGATAAAAGAGCTTTATTCACCCTATTTGGTTTAAGTTGATGAAGGACTGGCTCTTGAATTTTCCCTCAATCGCATTAGTAGGCCTTATTTTTTATTTGATTTCACATGGCCTTGTTTCTCATTTTTATTCAGGCAATAGTGGACTAGCTTCGGCCTCGCCTGAAATCGTCTCATCAGCACCCTTGGAGGGACTCGTATCCTGATTGTATAGTGTAGAGTCTACTTTCCTATGGCTTCGCCCCTTTCCTACATATTTATGTGGTGGGATTATCGATGAAGCAAGACTGTATTTGCTAGATCTGTATTTTTTAACTTATCTGCGATAGGACTGGTATTACGTACAGACTTTACCGCACAGGAGTACTGGCCTAATCATTTTATATCTATTTCATGTCTAAATGTTTGTTCGCTATGAGTATATATACATCATGTAGGAAATAGTCGGTTATCCTTTCTACCTTAGTGCTAACGTGGGACTTTTGCAAGAGTAAGTCCCAGCTTTGAGGATGTTCGTCATATGACGA